AGGCTTCATACCCACAATCCCGGCAGGGTGGCGGGATGGGCCGAAGGCCATTCGAGAAGGAAGGAGGCCCCTCTTTGGCGCCAGAAGCGTCTGGGTGCACGAGGAGGGCGAAAGGAACAGCCATGGAAAGACCTAAAGAGCGAGCCCCTTCCGAACCGAAAGCGGTCTTGCGGTAGGTCCGACCTACGGTGGGTTCGTACGGCGTCGGCGCGCGCACAAGTTTTCACACTGTTCCAATCGTTCAACCCTGAACCGATCGTGGCCGCGATCGTTCAAGGTTGAATTCTCGCGTAGCCTCGTCTCTTTCTGGGAGGCGTCGTGACCGAAATTTTGCCCGAAGATCAGCCCGAGTGTGACCGAAACTGGCGCCCGAAGTTTTCCGGCCGCGCCCGAGCGTGACCGAGACAATTGGCTCGAAACCGAGGCGATTCCGGATTCCGGCCACACTTTCGGCCGCGCCACGTGTTCTGGTCACAACTTCGGGCACGTTTTCGGTCACCGACTTTTGTTCGGTCACCTGCCTTCCCAGACCCCCGAAACCATGATTTTTTCGTTACGCGACCCCCAGAGGTCTGGACCTATTCGCCGGGACTGGTGTTTCATCCTGAGTCGTTGTTTGACGGTCCTGAGCTCTGGTAAGGGCTCCCCCAGCATTGAGGGCCTTGCCCTCGACCTCCTTCCTCCTCCTTCCTCCTTTCCCTTCCTTGCTACTACCTCCTCCTCCTTCTCCTGCTCCTCCTCCTCCTACTCCTCCTACCTCCACTCCCTCCCTCACATCAATTTCCTTCCCTCCCTCCGCATATCCATAACTCAGTAACTCCTCCTTCTACTCCTCATCCTCATCCGCCTCCTCCTTTTTCGTCCTCTCTCCTCTCCTTATCCTCCTCCTCTTCTTCTTCGTCGTCGTCCTCCTCCTCCTCCTCCCTCCTCCTCCTCCTCCTCCTCCTCCTCCTCCTCCTCCTCCTCATCCTCCTCCTCCAGCGGCTTCTCGAACTCGCGATCATGGCCCCTGCCGCTTCTCGGGCCAGGAGCGGCCGTGGAGACCAACGGCCCTGCGGGGGGGCACCGCTGGGACGGCTGACGTCACAGGCCTGCCGTACCGCGAGCTCACGCCAGCTTATGCTGGCGTGAGCCGCGGGCCCAGGCCGCACAGCACGGGGCGGAACTGAGAAGGAGGGAGGAGGGAGGAGAGGCAGTAGGAAGAGAGAGAAGACTAAGAGGTTCGGGAGATGCATGTGCTGTGAACAGTCAGCCGCCAGCGTGAGCGTGAGGAGTTGGCGGAACTGCGCTTCTAGCCCGCCTGCCCGCAGTCAACGGAGGCAGCCCTTGCTACCCTGAATTGCAGCCTCTTGCCGCCAACTGTGCCCCCTTGCAAACCTGGCCGGGTCGACTTCTAGGCGGCGCGCCCAGGGGGGAATGGAGAAGGAGAAGGTCTTCACAGAAGGCTCGGAAGTTCCCAGGACTTCTGAGAAGTTTTCCAAGCCTTCCCCGAGGACAGAAAAAAACTTCTCAGAAGGCCGGAGGCCTTCTGAGAAGTCTCGCCGCCTTCTGAGAAGGCCTTCTCCTTCTCATTTCCCCCCCTCGCTCGCCGCCGAACTTCTGCCCCCCTGGAATTCCCGGGCCAGGCTGGCCAGCAGTTCGTCCTCTACGCAGCCACCGAGCACCCGAGCGCGGGACGCGCCCCGGAGCGTGAAGCACGCACCCGAGCGCGAAGCACGCACCCGAGCGTGGAGGGAAGAGGAGGAGGAGGAGGCGGAGGAGGAGGAGGAGGAGGAGGAGGAGGAGGAGGGGGAGGAAGAGGAGGAGGAGGAGGAAGGAGGAGGAGGAGGAGGAGGAGGAGGAGGAGGAGGAGGAGGCGGAGGCGGAGGAGGAGGAGGAGGAGGAGGAGGAGGAGGAGGACTTCAGGGAATAATTATGGCTCTGGGGCGCCCCAGCCCCGCTGGTGGGCCCAGTTTCCTGGGGGCAACTGAAGCGAGGAAATGGCTCCAGATATCCGAAGAGACGTCTCTTTGTTTTTCGATCCGCGGCCCCCGAGGCCCCGACCGCTTCCCCGGGGGCAACTGTTCGCCCCCTGGCAGGCCCATAGTTCAGTGACCCGGAGCCCGAGAACGGACCCCGGGGGCCGAAGCCGAGGAAAAACGCCCTGGCTGAAAAAAAACGCATCGTCGGAACTCGGAGTTCTCCGGCCAGAACTCGCGCCGCCGGCGGCCGCTCGGGTCGAGCCGGGCCTCCCCCGGATGCCTCTCGGCAGAGCGCAGCTGCCGGAGAGCGCGCCGAGGCTGGGAGACCGCCGAGGTCCCACGAGAAGGCGCGGAAGCCTAGGCCTCGAACCTCGAGCCTCCAACCTCGAGCCAGAGTGCTTCCCGATGCGCCCGGCGTTGCACAGACAGCGTGCAGCACCTCCGACAAAAAACACACGCTGTGCCCGTGAGGCGACCCGCCCGCGAGGGCCCCTCCTGCGCACGCTGTCCCCCCTGCGAGGGCCTCGTCGGTGCACGCCATGCCTTGCCGGGGCCCCGTCGGTGCACGCCATCCCCCGCGTGGGGGATGGCGTGCCATCAGCGGGCCCGCGGCGCCACATCGCACGCCTATCTTTGCCACGCCGGCCGCGCACACAGAGCACTGCCGGAGGAAGCCCGCACGGCATACACAGAACTCTTCGACGCTCTGCGCAGATTTCTTGGATGTGCGCTGGACCCCCCCCCTCCCTGGCGAGCGGGGCGCGCCAGAGGAGGCGCCGAAGGCGCCGCCAGGGGGGCCCAGCGCCGACCCAAGAAATCTGCGCGAAGTGCCGAAAGGTTCCCCATACCCCAAGATGGGAGTCCTGTTGTTACTTAGACGCCTCTGAACCTCCTCCTTCTCCTCCTTCTCCTCTTCCTCTTCCTCTTCTTCTTCACTCTCATATCACTCAGATACTCATATCCAGATCACTCACGCCCATCACGGGGTCCATCACAGACCCACACTTCGTGACAGGGTCACTCATCGAATCACTACTCCACCCGCAGACTCAGCCACATCACTTCCCTTTTCAGACTCACGCAGACTCAGACCCACTCAGACCCACTGAAACCCATTCAGGGAATCAGCCTCAGACGCACTCTCACCCATACACATTCAGACTCTCCCACTCCGAAACATTTCTCCTCACTCCGACTTTTCTGGTAGTCCACTGACCACCGCGACATACGTAGCAGGCGTCTCGCTTGGGCCAACTTGGGGAGTGCCTCGAACGGCTGGTCTGTGTCTGCCCCCCAGACTTTTCTCCTCAGGTGGTCCGCTGCTCACCGCAGTGCAGTAAGCGTGGCACTTGGGCACCCCAAGAGGGAGCCGCCAGGACTGGGGGCACCCCAGGGTTCGCGCCCTAATTGGCGGGATGTCCCAAACGATTTGCCTGTTGATTGCCCCCCCAAAAAAACATCCCTCTGTGGGTGCTCCAATGCTCACAGCGATACAACAGGCGTGGCACGAAGCCGCCAAAGATTGGGACACTCCAGGATTCGCGCCAAGATCGCGGGGATGACCCAGGCGGTTCGTATCTGCCCCATTCTTTTTGGGGGGGGGAGCACATGCTCACCGCGATAAAGCAGGCGCGGCACTTGGGCACCCGAAGTGGGAGCTGCCAGGAAGGGGGACACTCCAGGATTTTTGCCCAAATGAGGGGATGTCTCCAAGGTGTTGCCTGTTTCTGCTCCGATGCGTTCTTGTGGACTGGTTCACTGCCCACCGCGACAAAGCACACGTGGCACTTGGGCACACCACGGGGGAGCTGCCAGGGGTGGGGACACTCCAGGATTCGCGCCCAGACTGTTGGGATGCCTCGAACGGTTGAATTGTTTCTGCCCCTCATGTTTTTCTTCTGTGGTGCTCCAATGCTCACCGAGATACAGCAGGCGTGGCACTTGGGCACCCTATGAGGGAGCCGCCAGGGGTATGGACGCTCCAAGATTCGCGTCCACAGGGTGGTGATGTCTGAGGCGGTGTGTCTGTTTCTGCCCCCCTGTTTGTGGTCCAGTGCCCACCGCGACATACCAAGCGTTGTACTTGGGCACCACAAGGCGGAGCCGCATGGGCTGGGGACGCTTCAGGATTCGCGCCCAAATTGTGGGGATGTTTCAAACGGTTTGCCAGTTTCTGTCTGGCAGATTTCTCTCTGGACTTGCGTGTTCCTCTCTCTCTCTCACACTCACTCACTGCCTTCCCTTTTCCCTACTCAAACGCCCGCATTCGCGCTCGGAGTTACTCACCAGTAGCTCTTCCTCACGCAGACCCAATAATTACATTCAGACTCATTCATACTCAGATTAAAGCGCTCAGAATCACTCATAACTACGTGCTCATACTCAGACTCACTCAAACTCAGATTCACTCGCACCCAAACCAGGCCATACTCATACTCATTCGCACTCAGGCCCACCCACCCACAAACTCACTTATACTCGCACTAGCTCGCACAAGCGGTACTCACACAAGTGGCTACCACGAAAAAGCCGGCGTGGCACTCGGGCACCCGAAGTGCCAGCAGGCACCGCGAGTAGCACAGCAGAGAGCGGGCGTAGAAACGCCATGCGCGATTGCCTGAGCTGCCAAGGGAAAGCGGCACGAGGAAGTCCCTCTCGCTCTTACACGTGTGTTCCTTCATCTCTCCTGACAGATGCCCAAAGGAGGTCGTCGTCGTCGTCGTCGTCGTCGTCGTCGTCGTCGTCGTCGTCGTCGTCAGCGTCGTCGTCATCATCGTCGTCGTTGCTGCGCCTGTCGTCTACGCGGGCTCGCTCTCCCACCCAGATGCTCATAGACAGAGTTCCCCAGCGAGAGTGACGTGACGTGGCGAGGTTCATATGTGGGGATATCCGCGTCGAGAATGTATGTTTATGGCGTTTTTGCTTTTTCGAAGCGCGGCCTCTCACGCGCGAGGCCTCGCTGCGCCGCGCGCCCCGGGCGAGCTCGCGCGCTCCACCGCGAAGCCCTGCGGCCGCGGCGGCCCCCCGCGCTGCGCCCCGTCAGACCTGGGGGGCCGCCAGCGGGGGGACCTCCTCCCCATCCGCCTCCACCTGCGCCTCGTCCTCCCTCCTCCTCCTCCTCCTCCTTCCTCCTCCTCCTTCCTCCTTCCTCCTCCTCCTCTTCCTCCTCCTGCGTTTTCTACTACTCGCTCCTCCTCCTCCTCCTCCTTCCTCCTCCTCCTCCTCCTCCTCCACCTCCTCCTCTTCCTCCTCCTCCTGCGTTTCCTCCTCCTTCCTCATCCTTGCTCCTCCTCCTGCCCCTCCTCTTCCTCCTCCTTGCTCCTCCTCCTCCTCCTCCTCCTCATCATCATCATCATCATCATCATCATCCGCTGCTCCTCCCTCCTCCTAGATCCTCCATCCTCCCTCCTCTCCTGCTCCTGCTCCGTTTGTTGTCCTCGCTCCTCCTCCTCCTCCTCTCCTCCTCTTTCCTCCTCCTCTCCTCCTCATCCTCCTCCTCACTCTCCTTCCTCCAACTCTCTCCAATCCTCATCCTCCCCTCCTCCTCCTCCTCCTCCTCCTCCTCCCTGACGCGGCATCGCCAACCGCCAGCCGCAGGACACGAGCGGTACGAGCGAGCGGCCTCACTGAAGGACGTCTGGGCACTATTGGCTTCGGAGGCCACTGTCCCAGCCCGTCTCCAGGCGCTGGATGTCGGGAGGGCTACTAGAGGCCTCCTAGATGGGGTCCGAGTAGATGGGGTTGAAGGATCGCGCTGCATCGCCAATGCATCGCCGATGTATCGGCGATGCATCGGCGATGCATCGGCGACGATCGCGATGCATCGGCGACGTGAGCGTGGGGAAACACGGGCTCCACATCGAGCCGCAGCGTCGATGCATCGGCGATGCGGCGCGATCCTCCGACCCCATCTGCGCGGGCCCCATCCGGGAGGCCTGGAGCTACGGCGATGGCGGGCTCCGCAGTGGAGGTCGGGACGCTCCTGCGGCGGGAGGCCCAAGGGACGAGGAGAGTGATGATGATGATGATGATGAGGAGGAGGAGGAGGAGGAGGAGGAGGAGGAGGAGGAGGAGGAGGAAGAGGAGGAGGGAGGAGGAGGGGGGGGGAGGAGGAGGAGGAGGAGGAGGAGGAGGAGGAGGAAGAGGAGGAGGAGAGGAGGAGGAGGAGGAGGGAGGAGGAGGAGGAGGAGGAGGAGGAGGGAGGAGGAGGAGGAGGAGGAGGAGGAGGAGGAGGAGGAGGAGGAGGAGGAAGAGAGTGGGCCACCTGTGATGTCCCCCCGCGCTGGCGGCGACCGCGCCAGTGGGGCGACCGGAGAGGGTGCCCAGCTGCATCTGGCGCCGTCGGTCCATGAGCTGCGCATCGCCACCCCGAACCCAGGCAGGGCAGGACTGGCGGGCCGTGGGACGGACGAGGTGCTGTACTGGCGGCTCTGGTGGGAACCGCATGCATAAACATGTATCCATATGTATATATACACACACGCACACCTCCTCCTCCTCCTCCGCCTCCTCCTCCGCCTCCTCCTCCTCCTCCTCCTCCTCCTCCTCCTCCTCCCCCTCCTGGTCGTTGTCGATGTCTTTCAGGGTCGGCGGCACCGGCCGTCAGATCTTCACAATCGATGTTTATATATATACATATAGATGTATATATACATATTTACACACCGACAAGCCCCCCGACCTGCCCCACATGTCCTGGCTCGCCCTCTCGGTCGGGAAACGAAAACAGGGGGATGTTGCGATGAACCTGAACGAAGTCAGGAGCAAGAGAGGCAGGCCAGGAGAGGAAGCAGATCCAGTCATGACGAAGCTGGTCAAGCAGCTCGAAGCGAGAGTGCGGACACTGGAGTACGCCGCACAGTTCGTGGTATACGGAGCCAAGTCAGAGGAGGTAGTGCAGGCAGGGATCCAAGTATACGAGGAATACTTGGGAATGGTCAAGGCGAGGGCAGCACGCACCAGAGGGGCTCGCCCGAGCATCAGCGATTTGGCGGAACTCTGAACGTTTTAGAGAGGCGGTGCAGCGCGGAGTCGTCGCAGCAGAAGTCAGCGATCAACCTGTGCCACGTCCCCTCCATGCTCCTCATGATGCTGCGCAACAGCGACATGGAAACGGCAGACATGTGGATCAAGGATTGCTCGATGTCACCGACACACGGCAACGAAGTGTACCACGTGACGTTCAACGTGCAAAAGGTCTGGTCGTGATACCGCGAAGCCCAGAGCAATCAAAGTAATTGGTAAAGCATCAGCACGAGCTATGGGACGTGGTCAACAAAAAGAAATCGAAGGTAAAGTGCAGGAGGCCCTTCTGCAGCTCCAGCGCACGCCGCTCGAATTCCTGCGGATGGCCCAGGGTTTCAATCAGATGGAGACCCGCGCCGTATTATGTTCCATCCTGCGAGCGATGGGCTGCTCTTTTAAGCCAGGCAAAGCCCCGAGAGGGGGATTGGTGACGAAGTTGAGAGGGCAGGGCAAGGGCAGCAAATAGATGAGCAGGACGAGCATGACATGGGCCTTGGCCGATTCTTTGAGTAGTGCGATGTCCATTACAATATTTTGGTGTGCTATATGTTACTCCAGATAGTGATCCAGTGTAATAAGCATGAGATGGTGTTGCACTGGTGGAATGCTACTTACATGAGATGGTGTACGTGCGCCAGGCTGGTTCAGAATGGTGGGGTACTATGTCTCGTGGGACGTGCTTGGCTTGTTCTGATGATTGGGAGATTGTGTCTTTCAGAAATATGGAACTGAGTGAATGCCTCGCCTGTGCTATGTGATAGTTGAATGGCTGTCGCCCCATCCGTTCCCCGTTGTAAGTGTCTAAGAAGTGGCCCGCCCCGCGTGGGCATGTGTGGGCCACGGGCCCCGCATGCGTTCCACCACTGCTCGCGTGGCACACCTGTGCTGCCTTTGCAGTATGGGCGTCAGTCGTGTAAACCGTGCCGGACTTGCATGCACGTGGCCCCGAGTTTAGCGCATGTGCCGTTGATCGCTGGATACTCGAGAGGGGGAGAGAAGAAGAGAGAGAGAGAGAGTGAGAAAGAGAGGGAGAGATATATACATATCAATATGTGTATACACACATATATATACATATATATATATATATATGTATGCGTCGCAACTCTCATTTTCCTGCCAGGCAGTCAGGTCTTGCAGGGCGGCGCTGGGCAAGTGAGCAGCTGACCGCGAGAGAGCCGAGGCGACAGACCTGGAAACACTCCCTCCCCAGTGACATTCCAAGAATGTCAAGTTTGAGATGGTGGAGAAGGGGGCGGATGGCGGGCCGAGAGAAAAACTTGAGCCCATATGATTACAGAGCGCAGAGTGACGGCATTCAACGATCTGCTCGGCAGACCCGCGCAAGCATGTTTCATGCTTCGCAGCTCTCATTTTTTGCTGCCAGGCTATCAGGTCTTGCAGGGCGGCGCTGGGCAAGTGAGCGGCTTACCGCGAGAGAGCCGAGGCGACAGACCTGGAAACACCCCCGTGCCCACTTCCAGTAAGTGTTCTGGGCGCCAGCACGATCAACCTGGAGGCAGGAGGCCACGCCTCCCCTTCAAAAAAACGGTTTTTGAGAGCATCTCGAAAAGCATTGGATATTTGCTAACACAGATCCTCTGGATATTGTTGGGAGCCGCTGGTGCGCCACTTACCGGAGGAGTCCTTGCCACGCAGCTGCACGCGAGGTCTACCAGTGAAGCTGCACGCGCCTTTGTGTCCCGAGCACCTGCGAGAGTACTGGGCAAGCTCAGGGAAGTGCCATGCTAGGAGACCAGTGGACGTCCTCCAACGGGCCCCAAAACCGCACTGGTCAAAAACGAGGAAGTCTGCAGAGAACATTTTCCACATGCGAACTATGTGGGATGAAGCCATGACCTGGACAGGCGCGGATTCTCAATGACAAAGCGAATCGACCATTCCGTTGCCAAGCTCAACGTCTCTTTTATCAGCGACGGACAGATTCGGAAAACCCAGCAAATTCTCATTGTCATAACGGATCCTCGGACGGGGCGGCAGGTCACGTACCCTGGACCACGTCGCACATGCTATGGCGATCCACACTCCGAGGCAACGAGCCGCCAGGCCCTGCCTCCAGCCTGCCGCAGCTAGCTGGCGCTGATGCTGCATCATGTTGCACTGCGCCACGCGCCTGGCCAGCCACCTCATCTTGCCCGGGCTCGCAAGGTAGGCCTCTTGGCTGAAGAGGGTGTCCCACGCGGAGCCTTCGATGCCTTGGCGTGCGAGCGCTTGGCTGACGCCCGCGCGCCCGGCGCGCAGGTCGAGGACGCAGCGCGGCGGGAGGCCGGCCTGGCGGCGGGCAGGGGCAACGAGCTCACCCGATCTTGGATCCCGGCGACTGCCTGGCGGGCGAGGCCCTGCTGCACATCCGAGAAGCGCGCCCACTCTTGCTGAACCATTGCGCTCGCCTCGCAGCGCCTCATCGCGCCGCCGGCCAGCCATCGGCCTCGGCGCTGGATCTCCCGCAGCGAGCGGCAACCCACGAGGCGGTCGTGGGAGGGGCCGCCGTGCCGGAGCTGGCACTGCGCCTACCTGGCATCGGGAAACCCAACAGGCGCATCGCTGCCTTCCAGTGCGCCAGGAGGGCCGACGGCTCGATGTCGAACAGCTTCTTCCCAGGGTCGCCCGTCTTGGGCGACGCCACCGCGGCGCCCAGGCCTGGCAGGTACTGCGCGTCCAGCAGGATGCTCTCGTCGCAGAGGCCGACATTCGACTTGTCGCCGCGCTCGGCCGGGTGGAGGTTCAGAGCCCACCACCGACTGCTCGCACGCGGCGGCGCCAGGTCCTCCTCCCTCAGGGAGCGCAGGTCGATCGGCCGCAAGTACGCGATCCAGCGCGCGATCTTCCAAGGGATGGGCGCCAGAGTAACGCCTGGGTCGAGGTTGGTGTAGCCCTTCCTTCAGCGCCCTCTGGAACCGCGGGGGCCTCAGTTTTCCTCATGGTGACAAATCCGCGAGATGCCAGGCCGCTGCGGCGTACGCCTTGAGCAAGTCGGCCTTCTCGAAGCCCTCTAGAAACAGGTAATCCGCGAAGTCCGCCATGGCAGCGTCGACACTCTTCACGGTGTCCAGGGCGCGCCCGATCGAGATCGCAAAAACCAGGAGCTCCTTGAACCAAGCATTGTAGAGGCCCTCCGTCGTGCTCGTAACGGCATGCGACTCCAGAATGGAAACCTGGCCTGCTGCTACCCGAGGCTCGAAGGTGCCGAAGGTCACGGCCCCCTTGGACCTCCTCTCGCCTCGACTGGCTGCCGCCACCAAATGCCGAGCTCCCCCCCGTGGCAGGCGGGCCCCCAGCTGCGGCAGCGGCGCTCCAGCGGCCTCGCGATGCAGTCGCGAGGTGACCCCTGCGAGCGCGTGGCCGCCGTCGTCCGCGCTGCGCCTCTTGACGAGGGCGGCGGCTTCGGATGCCCGCGTCCGAGGCGGCGGGGGAGCGGCCTCCCGCTTGCTGGCGGCGTGGCCCTGCCCAGCTTGCGGGTCTCCTTCCCATCGCCGTGGGAAGCCATCGGCGGTATTCTTCTCAGAAGGCACCCAACGAAAATGCCACTTGGAGCAGCTAGCTAACGCCAGAGCCGAGGCACGACGGATGAGGTTGAGGATGGAGAAGGACGCAGCCCGCGACTTCCCAGAGGCCATGGCGTTGCCCAGATGGTCCCCCATGATAAGATGGTGCCTCTTGAGCCCCTTGACGGACCTAAGCCCGTGCCTGATGCCCAAATCAGTAGCCCTCGCCTCCAGAGTGGGCGCCCCCTCGACGCCCCTGAACCTCGTAGAGATATCCCCCTCCAGATTTCCTCCTTGAGCATGCTATCTGGGACCTCCTGGAAGTACGAGCTCTTCTCGAGCATCTCCATGGAGCCTCCTGGACCTTCTGGGACCACGGAGCTGGGGTCCGAGAAGACACCCAGTTTTCCGAGTGCGCTGCGGCGAGGCTGCGACAGCGGGTGCTCGCCACGATAGCGCCAGCGTTCTGAGACGCGACCCACGGCCGCAACGCTGGAAGATTCAACAACTGCAGACGCCACGCCTGAACCAGTCTCGCAGGCGTTTGTCATAATAGCTCGTGGATGCCAACTCATCCTCAGGTCGGCGGCGCAGACTCCGATGAGGCCCCTCGCCCAGCGGGCCTACCTCCTTGCGTAGCGACGGCCGCGCTCGCTGCCGGCACGAACCGACCTTGTCAATGAAGTCGTAGGTGGACCTGAGGACGGCCAAACCCTCCCTGCGAATCAGGAAGAAGTCGACGACGTGGCCAGCCCACCCCTAAACTGCATGGCCCGAGAGACGGGCACCATTCTCAATGGCGCTGCAAACCTTCGCGAGCCGCTCTGCCCGCTCAGGCTTGTCGCAGACGATCCACCTGTCGCCGTCGATGCACCTGCCGAGGGGGGCGACCTTCACCGCGGCGTCGACCTCCTCGTGGACGGGGAAGCCTCTCGCCCTCAGGTGGGAGACCACCCTGTCTTTGGCCAGCTGCGCGGCGCTCTTGTCCAGGCCAAAGACGTTGAGGTTGTCGCGGTGCGGCGGCGCGCCCAGCTCCGAAGCGACGTCCGGAATCGGCCCGACGTCTCTCAGCAGGGCGCACTGGGTGAAGCCCCTCAGCGCCTCATCATTGGGGTTCTCCAAGATCTTCTGGCCATAATTGAACGCCCAGCTCCACCCCAGGGGAACAGACCGAAGCGTGGGCCAGACAGGCTCGCGATCGCTCAACCCTTCGAAACCGCCCATGAAGGTCCGCGCCTCGCCGCGCGAGATCGGCGGCAGGCAGAAGGAGAGCTGAAGGTCCAGATGGTTCTGGATGGTGTGAAAATAGTTATTCACGTCTGCTGCGGCTGTAAAGAGTGGGCCTGCGCCTTCGGGCCTCTCCAACCTTGGCCAAGCACCGCCTGTCCCCATGTCGAGGCGGGGGGGGGGCCAAAAGTGGGGGTTGCTGACGCGGCAGTCCATCGCCATACGGAGGTCGCCATTCTTCTTGGCTAAGAAAAATGGCGCGCAAATCTCGCGAGGTCGGCGCGCCCGAAAAATGAGCGACGCGCCGTGCAGGTCCTCAAGGAAAATCCAGTACTGAGATCTATCCGAGCGCAAGACTTCGTCCATGTGGGGCTTGGTCAAAGTCATCTTCTCAGACCTCCAACCCACATCGTCGGAATCTGCCAGCATCGTCTCTACGGGCCGCTGTAGCAACTCCCTCTCCAGCTCGCCAGCCACCGAGGTCAGTGGAGCAGAGCTCTCCCCAACCGCTGGCATCGTCACCAGAGAGCGCTTGCACGGCCTCACTGCGGCACCCTGGTCGACCCCGGCGTCGCCGACCACGCTAGCCAGGAGCTCATCAGCGGCCCCGCAGCGACTGTGCGCGTTGGTGGGCGATGGCAGGGGGGGGGGCCAACTCCAGCAGAGCCTCCTGCGAGGTGAGCTGCGCCAGTGACGGCCAGAGTGTCTCTGATCCCTCCCCCGCGCAGCTCATCTCATTCAAAACCGCGAGTGCCTCATTGACCCTCTACTCGACCCCGCGGCGACGTGCCAGCCTCCTCCGCGCGCGGTGCGAGGCCCCAGGAGTCGTGGGAGGAGTGGCCGGGACAGGAGGCGCAGGAAGTAGCTCTCGGCGAGGGAATCGATGACGCTCGGACGCTGTTGCCCCGAGCAGCCCAGACATTGCTGCCCGAGGGCGGTCCTCATCTCGTCCAGAATTCCACGCAGGTGGCCCCTGGGGGGGCCAGCCAGCTCCCGCGCCCCCGCCCCATCAGGGGTGCTCCTTGTCGTTCTTGCCATCCTTCTTGCCGCCGCCAGGCTGCCGGCGTAGCCAGGCCCCTCCCTGGCCTACCTCGCCCCCTTGGCGACCTGCGCCTCGCCGCGGAGGTTGTCGGCCACGTGCTTGCGCAGCTGCGGGTCGATGACCGCTCCCATCCTCCGCGACAACCAGCCCATGTAGTGGTCGGCCGCGCTGTAGTCCGCTGCGCCTCCAGCGCCAGCATGAGTGTGCGCGTCCTCGATGAGCTGGAGCCTCCTCGCGACCAGCTCGCCTGACTTCAAGCTGGGCGCGTTGAGCTGGTCGACGCGCGCTATCGCCTCCAAGATGTGGGCGCCTCGTGCTCATATTGAGACCTGTCCCCGTCCTGGATCTTGGCGGCCACCGCCAAGTGCTCAGACTGCGTGACGGGCGTCTGAGACAGGGAGGCGGTTTTCTGAAGCCGATACCAGCAAGTGCGAGGGCCCGTGAGGTCAATGCCGCCCTCGGGCAGTTCATCCATCATGCCGCCGACGGCATCGGGGAACGTCCTCCTGCGGCGGCCAGTGCCATCGAAACGGACTGGGGAGGACCCTCAGATCATCGTTCACGTAGTCGTCGAGATCCTTCCGATCGGTCTGCCTAAGCATCGCGGTGTCGCCGCCCTCCAGCGGCATCAGAGACTTGTCTCCGATGACATGTGCCTCCCGCGTGAGTTCATCCACGATCTCACCTCGGCGGAGGGAGGCCACGTCCTCGGCGACGACCCACACCCGCCCCGGGGAAACCCTCCGCTGAACGGGCCCAGCCTGCTGCGCTGGCGCCCTGGCGAGGCTTCCGACCTGGTCCCCCGGGGCGGCTGCCACCCTCACGGGGGGGCGATCCAGCGCGATGCCGCCGAGCATGATCTGGCTGTCGCGGCCAAGCGCCCTCACCGCTGCAGCGGTCGGCCTTCTCGCGAACCTGTAGCACCGATCGTTCCGAATCCCAGGATGAGAAGCCCCCTGCGCGCCGAGCCAGTGGACGGAATACATATCGTCCCCAATGGTCAAGTCGATCTCATAATGGTCGCCATCAGGCGTATAGATGGTCACCACGCTCGGCACCCCTTGCTTCACTCCAGTGATGAGGGCTTCGTGATAGAGCGGCTCGTCATCTCCCTCCAAGTTGTACCTTATCAGTATGTAATCTCCAACTTGCGGCATTCTGCCTTAGAGGGTGCGCAAGACTGCCCGATCCCGAATCGCTCTGCGCTGGCGGAGCGCCTCGGTCCTCAGCACGGTGGCGTCGGCGTCGTCGTCCACGGCAGGGCGCGCGGCCTGCTCGGGCAGCGCCTCGGGCGCCTCGCGCTGGCGAGGCCGGCGCCGCGAGCAGCCCGCCGCCGCGGTCAGCGCCAGGTTGCACGCACTGAGGGTCCAGCCGATGTAGTCGGGCTGGTCGAGGTCGCCCGGGATTTCCGGGCACACCTGGCACTGCAGTGCCGGGCAAGGCGCACACGGCGGCGCCTCTGGGCAGACAAGATCAGGACACGGCGGGTATGGGACCACTGGGCAGCTACCCTCCTCGGGATGCATGCCCCCTGGGCCACTGACAGCCGCCCCCCACGGCGTGCGCAGCCCGCTGGACCTCGGCGCCGAAGAGCACCGCGAGGAAGTTGGACTTCGCCGAGTGCCACAGCAGCGAGGCTAGCCCAGGCGCCGACGCGGCGGCCAGGGCCAGCGGGACGCGGTAGGCACGCAGGGCCATCAAACGTCTTTCCGAGAGAAAAACCTGAGCCCATATGAGTACAGAGTGCAGAATGACAGCATTCAACGAGCTGCTCAGCATACCCCTGCAAACATGTTTCATACACATTACACACTAAAGTATCAGGGCTCTGTCCCATCAGGCTTCGCAGAAATCCCAAGGGACAACGTAGTGCACAATTGTCTGGTCGGTTATGTGGGCGACAGGTGTTGAACAGCACATACATATATGTATATATATATGTATGCATGCACACTGTGGTTGGGCCGCCATGTGCCACTAAGCGGTGGATAAACATAATGGACAGAGTATAGTGGGCATATCCCGATCTGGACCATCGCGGCCGCATTGCAGAGGGAAGGAGTGCATGTGTGCGTGCTCCCCGCAGCGATGTCTCCGCCCAGGGCCCGACTCCCTACGCGTCGGTGGGCTTCTTCACTCAGGCGAAGATCGCAAGGGCGGTGTGCACGAGGGAGGAGCACTGTGGTGAGCGCTGGCATACGCTGCAGATGCGTCGTGACCCCAGCACGGGGCAAGGGGG